GGGGGGGGGGGAAGGAGGTGGGGATCGGAGCTGTTCCGGGGGGAAGGGTGCGGGGCTCGAGGCGCTTTATATGGGGCGGAGGTGGACCTGGAATTGCTGGGGAGGGCTGGGGGGGGGATTGGAGGCTGGGGTGGGATGGGGGGTACCGGGGATGGTTGTACAGGGGGTGGGATGGGGTGCAGGGAGTGGGGTATACGGGATGGGATACAGGGAATGGGGGGTGCAGGGGTGGGATGAGGTGCAGGGGGTGGGAATGGAAGTGGTATAGGAGTTGGAAATACAGGGGGCGAGATGGGGTTGCAGGGGATGGGGTTGCAGGGGGTGGGGTGCAGGGAGTGGGGTACAGGGGATGGGATGGGGTTGCAGTGGGTGGGTTGCAGGGGATGGGATGGGGTACAGGGGATGGGGAGCAGGGGATGCGCCCTAAGGATCGGCTGGGGGCCGGGGCCGCGCTCCCCCCTTACCTCGCACCAGGATCCGGCGGCAGTAATCCGCTTCTCCTCCCCCGGACTGGCTGTCGCTCTCCGGGATGCACTCCTGGGACGAGCCGGGGCTGGCCGCCGAGGTCCCCGGGACGTCCTTGAGTCCGAGTCCGCCGCCGCCTCCCCGCAGCGCGGTCTCCAGCTCCCCCCGGGCGCCGCTCTTCCCCCGGGCTCGCTCCGGCGCGCCCGGCTCCCCCAGCAGCAGGGGGCTTCTGCCGGCCGGGGCCCCGCCATCGCTCATGCCTGTGGCCGCCGCGGAGGGATCAAACATCAAGAGACAGAGAGCGGGGCGCGGGGGGGGTGGGGGGCAGCTGTCTTCCTGCCCCCCAGACCAGTCGGGGATCAGCGCCCTGGCGCCGGCCGGCGGCAGCCCCGGGGTGCAGCTAAGGAGCCCTCCTCCAGGGCGAGCACCATGGTCGGGAAGACCCAGCGAGGTCCCCCCCCCCACCCTCCCCGGTTCCCTCCTGGCTCTCTCTCGCCCTACTCACGGAGCCTTTCCCCCCGGGCTGCGGGGCAGGCTCGATCCATTTAAACAGCCCCTTCTCCGGCCCCCCCTTCTCCTCCCCCCCTCCAGGGAAAAAAAGCCCCCAAACCAAATTTCAATGGAGGAGTCAAGAAATGCCGGTGCCCGCCGGGCGCCTGGGGCAGAGGCGGGTGGGGGGGGAAAGAGTTAAAAACTTTGACAGTCCCGGTCCTTTCTCACGTACCCCCCTCCTCCCCCCCCCAGCACCCCTCTTCCTGGCAAACTTCAAGAGCAGAGCCTGCCTCCTGCGCGGACCTCTCCTTCCGTGTCTCTCTCTGATGAGCAAAAAACCGAGGAGCGAGGCAGTGTCTGGCCAAGCCCTGCCTTCACAGCTCTGCCAGCCAGGCGGGTCCGCCGTTCGCAGCTGATTCGCGTGCCCCCAGATCGATCCTGCTTCGGGAATGGGGGTGGATTGGGGGGGGGTTGGGAAAGGGGAGGGAGTGAGGGAAGGGGGGGTTAATTAAAAGAGTCCGGGATATTTTTCAGACGCCCCCCTCCTCTTCTCCATCTCTCAGCCCCCGGCCGATAAAGCCAAGAAGAACCAATCATCCGCGTTAATCGAAGGAACAGGGAAGTCCTCGTCTACCTGCGGCTCGCAGCCGCCTGAAGGGGCCGGCCGGCTCTCTCCGGGGAAGCAGGAGAGTGAGCCGGGCGAGGGACGGGAGTCAAGAAGCAGTTTGAAATTGACTGCTTGCCACACACGTAATTTCCTGCCGCAGCCTCCCTGGCTATTGATTGGCAAACAAAGAGTCGCTGTGCTTTGCCCCCCTCGGCAGGCGAACCCCCTTCGGCTCCTTTCCGAGGGAGCGGGGCAGGGCCTGGCTATAAAAGCCCAGGGCCCACGGGGCATTTTCCAGGGGTTATTTTGGGAGGACGAGCAACAAAAGGCCACGGGTTGGTCAGTTACTTAACTGGGTACTTCCCGGGCCGCTAGCCCCGGTTGCAGACAGGCGCTCAGTCCGGGGGGAGGCGGACAGAGCCTTGGCGAGCCTGGGGTCCCAGATTCCTGAACGATTTTCCCACCGCCGAGCAGCAAACAAACTAACACATACACTGGTGTGGGCTGCGTTGGAAAACAGACCCATCTCTTTAGTTTTATAAGCACACTTTGTTTAAAAAAAAGGTATGTGATCGGGGTATTCTTTTTTGTGGGGTTGTTTGATTGGATTTTGCATATAGACTATTATAGAATTGCCCTTCTCTCTCCCCCCCCCCCCGGACAGAGTACCCTCTCCCCCCGTCGCTGATCCAAGCGGGCAATAGATTGCCCCTCTCGTAAGGGGAGTATTTTTGGTAAATGTTTGTGATTGTGGTGAATTGAGCCCGCCTCGTGCGGACACGCCAGAGTGATTCCTGGAGTTGTCAATTCCCCTCTTCAGATCTGGTCACGGAGTGCTACAGAAAACCCCGGCTCTGCATAGGGCCATGTTCTCCTCTCCTTAGAGTTCATTTCTCCATTTTGGGGGGCTCCCGATGCCTTTATTATTGAACGTAGACGTGGGGGCGATTAGCCTCCGGAGCCCGGGAGTTAGAACAACACAGAGAAGGTTTTTTTATTTGCAATCACAGATGTTCATTTGCCGAGACACAATGGCTTTCTGCCGCTGCTCCGGTTGGAAGTTCGACCCCTCAGTCTATCCTGGGTCCCCCCTGTTTATACACCAGCGAGTTCTTCACAATGCTGGGGGCGGAATGGCCGAAAGGGACAGTATATCGCAGCCCAGCTGAGATTTTAGTTCATCAAGGGGCTAAGAGTTTCCCAGCCTGCCTTCATTTTCTGTATAGTCCCACCGACTTCTCAGAAATACTCCAGCAACTCCTATAAACGACCAAGTGAAATTGACCTCCAGAGCTTGAATAGTTCTGATCGGGTGCCTGATTGATTCTTGTCACCCTGCGATCATTTCGAAACTTTGCTCTAACGTACTTTTGATGGTTCCAAAATGTTCATCAATTCAATCAACTTGGGTTGCACAGCGCGCTAGTCCTAACGTTTATATAGACCACAGAAAAAAGAACGTCGAAATGATCTCAGACAATGACCAGGTTTTATTCGAAACAAAATCGAATAGCCAAGATGCGTCTTCTCTTATAAATTCTACACCATCCAGCACATTTCTGCAGCTTGACGCAAAACAAATCAGTTCCCAAATACTGACCGTACAACTTCCCCTAAACTGCCTATTTCCCCCCTTTGAGGTCAGGTTAGATTGGTGCAAATCTGGAATAGTCTCGTTGATTTACACCGCTATAACTGATCGCAGAATCCGTTTTATTACTGGGTTCCTAGGTGTTTCTTTCAATTGTTTGTTACAGCCATTTCAGAGTCTTAGTGAAAGTAAAGGCGTGGACACTGTACATGATTCTGATTGAGTTATTTTGTAAAGGAAGAGCTGCGTTCATTGGCATTTTAAGATCATGCAAAATACACTGGAAATTCAGAAGCAATTTTTTCTTTTAACTCACCCTCCTTGTTTTTTTCCCCTTCCTTTTTCTTTCCTTACATAATCAAGTAAACTTTAAATCCAAGACGCTGAACTGCGCAATTTAATTTGGGAAAGCCTCAAAATCGAAGTGATTTCGGTTACAATTCCTCAGGATAAAACAAACAAACCTGCTTTTAACCCCATTGGCAACTGACTGACAGCTCTTCTCTCGCCACCCCCAAGCTAGGAACCTTTGGGAGGGTTACAATGAAATTTACACCGCCTTTCTTTGAAACTTCACAGACGGCGTCTTTTGCTTAACTGGTGCCAGAACTTGCGACGCAAAAGAATAACCTGGTTGATTTGGCTATTTTTTTGTGTGAGAGGGCGGTGTGTATGATGGGGTGGACATGGATTTGACTGGAATACAGATAGAGATATAATTTAAATCCGAGCTGTACCATTTCCCGCGTTAATTCCCGGGATAGAGTTCTTGTGGGAATCACCCGGATAAATAAGATCCTCTGGTCTTAAATATAGATAGATAGATAGATAGATAGATAGATAGATAGATAGATAGATA